GTAAAGAGACTTTGGACAATTGCAAAGTTCGTTTTCTGGGTGTGGGTGTGGGTGTGGGTGTGGGTATGGGTGTGGGTGTGAGGTGTGGGTGTTGGAATGTTGTCTTCGTCCATACCCGCATCCCATATACCCACACACCCACACCCACACCCATACCCACCCTATGAATGTTTGATTGATTATTCTATGGCAATAGTGTGTTGATCTTTTTTTCTCTTTCAGAATTCTAATTCGAAAAATGTAGAAGAAACAAGTGCTACTGATGGAGCAGCAGCGACTAATGATGATTGATCATATGCATACGAACTATTGAGATTTTATTTTAATTTTCTTGTTATTTCTTTTTTGTTTTGATATTTGACATTTGTATATCTATTGTTTGCAATAAAGTAAACAAGATCCTATATTATGCTCAAATACCTTCTTGACGATCAAAATTTAAGCATCACACATATATTCAGTTGTTTCTTTCATTTTTCTACGATTGTTCAATACAGTCAGCGTATAAATACGAATGTCTAACAAGATGAAACACTTTACTCTGAAGAATTACTAAATATTTCGTTCGTCATCATCATTGGTCCATTTCTATTAGTTTATGTGCTTGATATTAAATATATGTCTTAGTAAAACTGGCCTGATTGTTGTATTCAGAGATTGAATATTATATGCATGAATTATTTTGAATATGTAGAGATTTCTACGCGTTATCAATTACTCCAAATAAATGACTGTAATCATGATTACATGCGGGTGTGGGTGTTGCTCTTCTGAAAGGAAACCCACACCCACACCCACACCCTAAAAATAAGGTTAATGATGATACATGAATTTGTATTGATTACACAAGCGCTTGATTTCTTTGCCCATGCTACAATTGTATGTAAATAAGATATTTATCTTATCATGTTCAACTTGGACTTTGACAGATAAAAGCGACCATTGCGGTCTGCTCACAAATGTTTTTGTTCTCAATTTAGTGAGAATATCCCGATTTGATACATTTCCATAAATATTTGAGACACGATCATAAGGAGCATGGTCAATCATTCTTTGATCATTTCTTTTCAACGACCCAGGTGAAAAAATCATACGCAGATCATTTTAGATCTTACAAGATCTTACTGACATCGGATGTTGTAAGATTCATATTGTATGATCTTACGAAATCATACAAACATCTTAGTGTAAGATTCTTGCACAATCTTATGTAAATAGTTTTTATAACGAAAGTCTCATGCATTAAATAACACTTTTATTCAGAGTTTCTTCTCGGAGAAATATATTAAATAAACTTTCAATGATGGAGAAGAGAGAGCTGTTCGATTTAAGCATTGAAAGAAGGAAGTCATAGTCTTGAGAAATTTCTAGTCTTCCACTATCTATCCAGCTCGAAGGAGCCTACACAAATCCATGCACTTGTTTAAACTAGTCGTACATATTAGGATCTTTTTGTATATGTCGAAGTATTGGGAAATGATTGACATAAATCAACATTTAAATTTGGATTCATTTGAGAAAGGTAAGTCAGAAAAGAATCTAGCCAATGATTCTTATTCTTCAATTAAAACTGAACTTAAATTAGTTTTGAATCCGTTGCCCTCATATATCACTCTATTTTTTGCTGATACTTCAAATGACATTTAATTAAGAAATACTACCATTTCATTTCATTTATTTCTTTTTCTGGTAAAAATCTCAAAAGCAACAACAAACACAAAGCTTAACAACAAGAAAAATGACTCATCATCAGAAAATGATAATTAAAATTGTAGCTTTTATAGTCATTTTTTTACATATATATTTATTATAAGCTACTCTAATTACTCATATTTATCAATAGAACACATTTGAAACGAAAATAAATCAACCTGTTAAAAGCACTAAATATAGAGAGCGGAAGAGTGCAAGAAAACCAATTAATAAAAATTAATGCAATTCAAGAAAGTATGTATTCAATTTAAATTATATTTTATTTTATTTTAGATAATGTCATCCACCAATCCGAAAAACATAAGTATTTATTTAATTTAAATTGTCTATTTGGTTTTATTTTAGATAATATCGACAATTAAACAAAATAAAGTAAACGATTATTTAGTTTAAATTGTCTTTTTTTTCTGTTTTAGATGATCTCAAAGACCAATGCAAATAAAGTTAGTATTTATTTATTTTAAATTGGTTTTTTCATTTTAGATGATATCCGCGATTAATATAAAGAAAATAAATATTTACTTAATTTAAATTATCCTTTATTTTGTTTATGTAATATTTACGATCAGACCAAACGAAGTAATTATTTTGTGGAACTCACGTATGTTTTCGAAGAAAATAGTGAGTGTAAGTTTTCAGTCCGAGGTTTGGCGGCTCCCCACCCCATTACAGACACATAGCAACGGAAAAGAGAACATTACAGACATGCTCCCCATTACAGACACCCCTCCATTACAGACACCCCTCCATTACAGACACCCCTCCATTACAGACACTCCACCATTACAGACCATAGCAACATAGGCCACCATTACAGACCTTGACAACTTCGTGAAAAAAAAAATTCTGTTCGAAATTGAGAGATAAAAATATAGCATTTTCTAATAATCGATTATCTTTAGAAAAGAACTATTATCTTTTGGAGATTTTAAATATTGGATATTTTGTCATTAGTATAATGAAACCAAAGGAGATATGTGAGTTCCACATTTTAGCCTCAAAGAGGCTGTGCTAACAAGCTTTTTTTTTAAATTGTTGCTTTTTATTTTAGATGACATCAACCATATAGTCAAATAAAGTGAGTGTTTCTTTAATTTAAATCTTCTATTTATTTTTATTTTAGATAATATCGACGATTAGATGAAACAAAGTAAATATTTATTTAATAAAAAAATATTCATTTCATTTGATGCATTTATTTGCACATAAATGCATCAAATGAAGCAAATAATTAAATTTAACTTTAGTTATTTATTTTATTTGATGCTCTCAGTGGATTTGTGATAAAACAGTCCCTAAAAATGGAAGCCATATAAAACGAAAGAGAAAAAATGAGCTATATACCTTTTTATGCAACTCTGGAAAATCATACATGGATCTTATAAGATCTTATAAGATCTAATAGTAAGATCATATAGAATTGTACGATACGATTTCATCAGAAAAGTTGGCTTTGAGGTGGGCATATAGAATCTTACAAGATCATATATGATTTTTATACGATCTTGTATGATCATGGAAGATCAGATATACGTTCTTATATGATCTTGTAAGAATCGTACAAGATCATACAATAGGATTGTTTCATCTGGGGATGTAAAATATAGATGAAAGTCAATATAACGTTGTTGAGCAGTATTTTCGGATGTTGATACTTGAAGATACGCTAATTTGTCAGTCATGAAGTCAGTCAATAGTTGTAAGAATCAAGAAAGAATTTTCACATGACGATATACACAGATAGAATCGACTTTTTTTTACATTGTGCCAATACTTCATGATCGTAATTGACATGGTGACAATGTTGACATATGTTGTTTTTGTAGTAAGGAAGAATATTCATGATAATTCATTGTGCAATAACTCTAATGAAAAAAAATCGATAAGATCATATTTTTTGCATTTATTTTCGAACAAAAAACGATCTTGATCTTATGAAATCATTTGATGAGGACAAAATATTCTTTTTTAAAGCTTTTCTCTGACATTGAACTAAAAGAATCAGAATCGTCAAAAATTGTGCTTATTCACAAGAAGTTTGAAGCGTTACTGTCAGAAGTTGCATAGAACTCTAAAATTTAGATTGCAGATCACAAATTTGAAAGACAAACCAGAATATTAAGTTCGTTTCTATACGATGAAGCCAAAAGATACAATCCTATGTTAGAATTGACTGAAAAAAAATCACAATCATCAAATTCGTAGGATGGACGATCAATATATTGCAACAATTGCATAGAATTCTCTGAATAAATATGGATTCGATTCAGTCACATTGTTTTCAGGAAGATCAACGAACAAAATTTAGAAAAAAGTTTGAAATATTACATTGATAGTTTTACCTTCTTTTTTCTATAAAAGAAACAAAAAAGCTTTTAAAAGTCTATTTTGTTTTCTACATTTAAATGTCCTCATACACACCAGTGATGACATGTTTTTTTACAAAATGAATTCATTATTCTTCCTTAAAGAGTTTATCAGCAGTCTGTTGGGCTTGGAAATGAGAGAGACATCTCAGTTTAATCAATTGAAAAAAACTAGATATTGTAATATACGAAAACGTACCAATCTCTGCTCCAATTAACACCAGGGTGTGGATGTGCATATGGATGTGGGTGAGGGTGCATGTGTGAGTATGGGTATGAGTGTGAATGTGGGTTTAAGTATTAGTAAGGATATCACCCACACCCACACCCCACCGACACCCTCGTTAGTCTGTATTGGCTGAAAAAACCAAAGAATACAATGCAAAGGTCGAAGCCATGAGTACCGATGCCGTTAGTGATGGTTAGGCTATCACAAAAGCTTCTATTTTGTTGGAGTGCACACTAAGACAGAACAACTCTTTATTTTTTTTTCTACCTCATGGCTTGTTTTCTCAATGTTTTTCATTTATTTCGTCTTTTTTTTATCAGTCACTGTGAAATACATTTATGTACTGTAATAGTTTATTTCATTGTCACCTTGACCCTCAAATGAAGTTTGAATTTGATTACTTTAAGAATCAATCTTTTTTGTTAATTTAAAATAAATAAGGAAAGGTATGTAAAGCAATGAAGAAAGAAAAACTAAACCCAATAGACTCTTTTTTATAATTTGTTTTTAAGTAAAATTTCTATTGATGACATAAAGTAAATTTGACAAGTTGGTCAAATATAAATGAAACGAAATTGACAAAAGTATTTATCCTTAAACGAATGACTTCGTCATTTTGAATAAAATCATAATTTTAAAGTCTTACTTTTTTTATCTAATAAAAAATTCTTTGATTGATATTATAATTAAAAATGTCTTCTAAAACAAATATTTTCTATATAATATTGATTGGATTTATAATATTATTAAACATTGATAGTTCATCATCAGACCACGAATCACACCATGATGATCATCATGATGAAAGAGGTAAGTTTTTTTTATATTATTTTAACACTGATTTTATCTATAATATGAATGGATGGAAAAAGACAGAAAGGAAAAACGTCGAAAAGAAAAATGTCGAAGAAAAATATAGGCAAATATCGAAAAGAAAAATATCGAAAGGAAAAATATCGAAAAAGAAATATCGAAGAGAAAAAGATAGAAAAGAAATAATATCGAATGAAAAACGTCGACAAGAAAAATATAGAATGCGAAAAATAGATAGATGGGGAAGATATAAATTGTTGGAGGTTGCTTGAATTCGACGATTGAAAGGTTCTTTTTTTCATGACTCGTGATGTTATCTATTGTCACAATTGACGTACCGAACATGTCTACTGAGCTGAAATAAATCCATTTTTGAAACGTTTTCTAAGTATGGGATAGTAATCGAACGCGCGCTAGTTAGTTGTCTTTACTTCAGATAATATGACTATTCTGTCTAATCTGATATCATTTCTGTTTGCATAAAAAAGAAACTCATTGTTGATAAGGGACAACTCCATATTTAAACTTGACATAATCGCAAATACAATAAAACACTATTGATGTGAAAAACTACTTTGTACTGTGACCTCACATACCGACATAAATGATGTTGTATAAGAGCTAAAGGTAATCATTCATTCACCTGAACGAGAAAACCGTGCGATTCGAATGTTCAAACAAATTATACACGTACGCGCTATCAAAAAGAAAAATAATCTGACATTGAAAATATACGACGAAAAATCGTCAAGATCTTGTTTTAAGACATTAGTAATTACTATCCTTCCATCACAAAGGGAAATAGGTAGTCGAGTACTTCTTTTTCTTTGACTGAAGTAACTTTTTTCAACTTCGTTCATAGGATACAGCAAGACATCCTCAAACAGGTAATATCTATGATTTTCAACTTTCCTATATATCTGAAGCTAATACAAAATCGTTAAGAATTACCTTATATTCAGGTCACGAAAAGGGTGATATTGATGCTAATGAACTTTTTACTTCATTATCTTACGTTGTTGCTAAATAATCTTGCAACAAAAGATAACTGAATTATTATGACTTTATTTTTAGTGACATTTCTCTAGATGCCAGGAATGAATTTTTCTATTACTTTTCTTTAATCAATAAATGCTTTATCGATGCTGTAAATTGTTATAATGAAAATCAATATTTTTCCTTTTCGATGTTTTTCTTTCGATCTTTTTCGTTCTATATTTTTTTATTCGACATCTCTACCTTCGATATTCTTCTTTTCGATATTTTCTTTCGACATTTTTCTTTTCTTTCTTTTTCCATCATACCTATAATATCACTGGTGGATTTTAAACGACGAAGGATCGGTCATTTTTCTCTTCAGAAATTGTTTTTCGATGTTTTCTGTTGAAAAACAAATAAAAAACAGTTAATTATACCTCGAATGAGTCTCAAATAGGATTTTTTTTGTCTATAATAATTTCTTCTACAGTCAAAATATCTGACCTTCACTTTCCAAAATGGTAGATCAAATATTGTAAAATAAATTCTATGAAATAAAAAAACTTGATTTATTAAAGATCATTCGGCATATTAACGTTCATCATACATAGGAGCTCAATGTTTTTCTGGTGATTCATTAATTAAATTATCAAATGGTGAATATAAAGAAATTGGTAATCTTCAATCTAGTGATGAAATAATAACTATTGATCAATCAAAAATAATTTCAACAGAAATGATAGTGATGTTAGATAAACAAATTTCAAAACAAGGTATCTTATTTATAATTATTAAGAATTATATATATATATAATAATGTTATTTTAGCATTATTTTATACGTTAAGAACAGATTCTGGTAATGAAATAAGTTTAACAGAATATCATTTAATCCCAACAATAAATTCAAATGGAAATGAAAATTATTTATTTGCAAAACAAATTAAAATAGGAGATTATTTATTTGTTCTACTTAATGGAAAATTAAAATATTCTCCAGTAATAAATATAACAATTGAAATGAAAAAAGGTTATTATGCTCCATTAACAATGAAAGGTACTTTATTAATAAACAATGTTTTAGCAAGTTGTTTTGCAAATGTTAACAATCATCATTTAGCACAATATTATATGACACCTCTTCGTTATTATTATAAATTTGCTCGATTTATGTCTTTATATGATCTATTTAATATTAATAAAACTGAAGGTTTACATTGGACAGTTAATATTATGCTTTACTTCGCACGTTATTTTAAATTTGATGCATTATGTTTATGACACAATCATATTTTTGCTCTAGATTTAACAATTATGTTTTACTTTTTTTGTTGTCTAAATAAAATAGTTCGTCAATTTCATTTTCCGATCATTCAGCAAATCTATGATCATTGTTTTCCTTTATTTATTATTTTGTTAAGTGATTTAAAGAGATAAAAGTGAACGATATCAACAATTAAGATGTGCAAATGATGTGAGAGAAAAAAATCTATATTAGACGACTACGGAGGAGTTTCTTACTGATATTGTGTTGCAATATCATTGGATACAGTGTGCTTTCTTACACTCAAATTGATTAAGATTCAAAACGATTTATTTAACTTTCTTGATAAGTAACAATTTAACATAAGCCATTAAAAAAGATAATACGACCATCAATGTCAAGGCAAAACAAGTGTTTTCACATACTCCAGTCCGATGCATGATCGATAGATCGTTTCTGTAAGACGCCATTGCCTGAGAGAGGATATATAATGATATGATTGGTCAGACAGAAAATTGCAGATTGCGAAACTCGTTGACCATCAAGACATTGGAAGCATAACGAAAGGCACTTATCCATTGAATCCAACGGAGAAAACTGAGTACACTATTCAATTCGACAAGAAAACCAATGAATACCATCATGATGATAAAAACAAGAACCAGAATGATCAAAGTCACGGCTAAACAGTTTTCAAAAGATCTCTGAAAATGTTTTATCTTTGGGCAAAATCTTATCAAAAACAGGGATGCTTGCTACAATAAAGAAACACATGGCTGAGCCGAATAGATTAGCCATGAAGATGGTAAGAAGAAAGACAAAAAAACTGTCTAGCAGTTCGTTGCAAATAAGTCATAAAATAGCAAATCAAACTGGAGACTAGTGAAGGAACAACACGCATTAGTAGAAGATCGCACACTAATTTGGCTAGAAACAAGGTCGAAATATTATAGTAACCACTGACATTTTCCTGAGAAAAGCAAAATCTACATTTTTGAAACGTGTTTTCAATCAAAGTTGATTGACTTCGTTACTTATATGAATGAAGAATGCTCGTTCTTTGATGAATGGTTCAAGTACTGTGGCAGTGCTAAAAATTTGATTAACAATGATGAAGAAGATGCCTTCTAAACGATTTTTCACGCCTGAACCCGTCGTTTGAGGTATTTTATTATAGCGAAGATCAGTGCGCAGACCAAGAATAATAGCGACAGCAATTTACCACATCAAAAGTGCTGAATTACGTAAAGCATTGCGAAGAGTTCACTGAGAAACATGGTAAAAATCGGACACGATCGATCGACCTGGCTTTTGTATGCTCGAAACTTTACGACTGAATGCATTATCGGAAGAAATAGGCGGTGTGCGACTATGCATGGATGAATGACAATAGTTTACGCAGAGATCTTCAACTGCAGAAGTACAAGTGGTTCTGTTTAGTACATCGAGCGCAAAATCGGTTGGATTGTCATGCTGCTCACAAGTAAAACCTTGCTCGATAAAATGTGACATCATACTAGTAGATAGGTCAAAATCAACAGTATGACCGTGCAGCATGAGTAAGACAGTATCGAACACCTCGAAGATTGAATAACGCGATTGATGAATCGACAAAATGATCGTACCTAGGTCAAAGAGAATCAAAATTTCTTCTAGTCTTTTGCTAAGAATATATCTTGAATATTGCTTCCATCCATTTCGCGAAAGACCATGCAGATATTTCATGACATTGCATGCTGTTGATGTGTCAGGACCTGAAATTTTTAAAAGATGATGCAAAAATGGTTAGTTTTTATTTCACTGACCAGTGGTTGGTTCATCAAGAAACAAAATTAGAAGTAATAGTACCATTTCCATGGCAATACAAGTTCGTTTCCTTTCTTCACCTAATACTTCTCGCTGTGCTTCAGTATCCATACGCGTGTTGCTACATTCAGTCAAGTCCAGCTACTCAATAATTCTTTCTACTAGGTCCAGTCATCCTTTACGAGCCACTGATTGCAGTAGACGAAGATTAGCCGAGAAAACAATATTTTCGCGCGCAGTCAGCGTTTTACTGAAAATATCATCTTGAACGACATAACCAACCATGTAACGATACACAGATGAAGCGGGTCGAAAATGACCATTGATGAGCACGTCACTTTTACAGGCTCATCTTTCTTTACGATCAACAAGAATGTCGAGTAATGTTCATTTGCCGCAACCAGTTGGACCTAGTTTCTTTTTCATATTTCACTTTCAAACATAAATAAATGATGCTTACCTAAGATATCATTCATGCCAGGTTGAAAGGTTCCTGACACATCAAAGAGAATTTGTTTTTTCGAAGTTGCTTTGCAGAAAAGCAGTTTGGACCAGATACTTTTGTTGGTGTTCAATACATAGCTTATATTGTGAAAGGAGAGAGTTGTACTGTGGGGTGTGGGTGTGAGTAGAGGTGTTAGCCGATCCTTTTATCGGCGGCAGCGAAATCCTTCCTATATCATTTCACAGTCTTTCCGGGGTCCCATACTACTGAGGCAAACGTCAGACGTTCCGTTCTCACAGAAATATAACGTTGTATTCCTCTTGCAATGTGGATCTCTCCTTTTCTAAACAGGTTTTCCACTATACTTCAGTTTATTTTCATCAAGTCAAGAATTTCAATGTTCTAAGGTACAATAAGTTAAAGAAAAATCAGCAGTGGACAACAAATCGATCGGTGAGATAAATGCTCATTTCCAGCGGAAAAATGCCATCCACGTCAAAAATGATTTTTTTATCCATTCTGTTCATATAGGACGAGGGTGTGGGTGTGGGTGTTTATCGTCTCTTCACCCACACCCTCTCTTCCTCTTTTCTCTTCTACTTTTCCTATCCGGTCATGATAATTTCAATAAATTATCAGTCTTTTTTTTCTGTTCTACACTTAGGGCCTTTCAATAAAAGAAGGTGTTGAACGTCATCTTTTTTATATAAAACAGTCTAGGCTGGAGTAGAGATCACTTATTCATCTCTCTCCTTGTATTTCACTTATATATATATACATATATTTCTCTCTCTCTCCTACAGGATGTCTAATAAGTCCTGATCCCTTTTAAGTAATGCTCTTTTCTTACGTGTTTTTAGATATAATGCGCTGATATTTACAGCACATATACTAGACATCTAGATCTACTCTACGCTAGAGTTTGAGCCTTATTGCTCTCATAGTCACAGAGATACAAGTGACGAAGTATTGATAGGAATTGTTTTAATTTTATTTACGAACAGCATGGATGAAAGAATTGTAATTATTTGATCGATCTCTCATAATGAATAAGACTTTTCCTCTGTGTATGACTCCTGTGTTCGGTCATTTGTTCACATGGTTATCGGCGGAGAAAAAATGTACAATCTCTTTTTGACTGGTGGTGGTAACGTGCAGAAACAGCAAAATTTGCTGATATTTGGCCAATTGAAACAGTCTAGGGTCATTAAGGAAAAATAGAGAGGAGAAAGATTTGGAAATGAATTGAAATTGGAAAAACGACTAGTGGAAGGATGGAAAATGTTTACCGTAGCAAAGTGTCAGCGAATGATGGAAAAATGACCGAGTCGATTGAAGCAATTGATAGATCAACAAGGAGACCATATACATAAATATTGACACACGCTTTCCTCTTATCATGTGTAAAAAGTTTCGATTTGCTAATCTCGTTCCAACCATTGTTCTTCATTCTACTTCCATAATAAAAACACAGAAGAATCCTCATGAATAATTCAAAAAATTCCTATGAATATTTCGTCACTTGTATCTCTGTGCCTATAAGAGCTATAAAGCTCAAACCCTCGCGAAGAGTAGATCTAGATGTCTAGTATATATGCTGTAAATATCAGCCCATTCTATCGAAAAACACGTAAGAAAAGAGCACTACTTAAAAGGGATCAGGACTTATTAGACACCCTGTATGTATGAAACTATACGTATGTGTGAACGAAAAAAGAAAAGGGGACATAATAATTCGAATAAAATTGAATTTCGGCTGAATCGAATCAAAGAAGATTTTACAAACATTGATTTTCGTTACAGAGATAGGGATCCGTAACAAACATATACACTAAGAGTGGATAAAGAAAGTGCAGCAAATTTCTAATGTTTACTCAACAACTCCATTAGTTTCATTCAGTGCACACTTTTACAGACTACATTTTAGCATGAAGCACTCATATATATATAAATAAATAACAATTAATTATCGCGTTGTAATAATTCATAGCTGATGAAGACAACATTACTTTCTTTTTAACGTTCAAGGAATATATAACGATGAACATTTAAGTTAAGAAAATATTATCTAAATTATATTTCGAAATAGGTCATCTCACTGAGATTTTCAGATACTTGAAGTTTACTCAGTCATAGTGTTTCATACATTTGAAAATATTAAAGCGAAATGGGACTTAACATTTAGGAAACAACGTTGTGTTTTGAAGAACGAGGCTTCCTCTTTAAATAGATGCGTTCACCACCACCATTAGGTTACTGTTTTCAAAATGCTACACGGTATTAAAATCGAAAACTGCAAAACCAAAGAAACATGACTAGAAACCATGACTTAAGTACATCACTGCTTAAAATTAAGGGCTGCATATCTCATGAGTACAACACCAATCTAAAAATGGCAATCTGTTATTTGCAACAAGTTCCACCTTACAAAGACACATCGGGTTTTTCTGTAGTATTACGTTTTGTTTCTTACTTAACATTTGAAAAATTTGGGAGTATTTTAAGATAAAAGCGATGCATTTCAATAATGAAGAGAAAATTATTTTTTGGACATTACAAAGATTATAACTACAGTAGATGTTTCCATCAACTGAGTTTTATCATTTCAATTACCCATGCAGTTTCAGGTACATCAAAATTTATGTCCGTCTCACTGTCTGAACCGTCATTTTTACATGTTTTGACATGAAAATAATCAAGCTTTTTTCATTTTTGAAGTCTCTTCTTAATGAGGAATAACACAATTCACAATAAGCAAACCCTGAA